GTGTCAAGTGGATGAAATAAGGGGAAAGAGTAGGATGACCGGATTTAATAATAGCATATATTTTCTGCTGGGTCCTAGAGAGTAAGTATAAAAATATTGTATAGATTGGTCAAAGGATTTAGAAATTTATAGAGAACAGACAAACAAACATTCTGTTTTATATAGGCATTTATAATATATTTTATTCCAGAAAACGTATAGAAAATCATATAAAAAATATGTATCGATTTTACGATAAAAACTGTTTTGAAGCGGAATATTTATCAAATAATCAATAAAAAAATTGTTTTTAAAAAATTGAATATTTATTTAATTTACGAATTTATCGTTTGATCGATTTTTATGCAGTTTTACATCTACAAACAATAAACTTCGATGTAACGCATTCCTAAATGACGCCAATTTGAAATTTGTTCACGTGATTTGGCCACCTTGTCCAAATTGTATGACATCACACTTTAAAATTAAAACTTTCCCATAGACCCCATAATTATAAAGCGCTTCGGTTTAGAGCCACTCTCGATTTAGTGCCAAATTCAAAGACAAATAAATGCGCTGAATCGGGATTTGATTGTATATTATATGTAAATTAAAGGCAATTTTAAAAGTAATTAAAATAATGCAAAATTATTAAATTTTAACTCAAAATGTTGTACAGTACATACAATAATAGGGGGAGGACGAGGCAACTTCGGCTCGATAAGAATAAGTTTAATTTTGTGTTTTTGTGTAAAAAATACTGCTATAAACTGAAAGAAAAGTGTTGTTTATTATCTACCAGAATGTAAACATACCATAGAACTGGTTAAAATCAATTTGGAAATAAAAATAATCATAATAATAATAACTTTATAAAAATATAGCAGTTGCAACAGTAATGGGGTAAGATAGGCAGGTATATAAATTTGTGTTATTAACAATGTATAAGTTGGAATTCACTATTAAAACAAAGAAATACAAGTCCAAAAACCTATTTAATATTATAACAACGAAATACAAGTTCGAAGGCAATATTTAAGTAAAGAAAATGTAAACAAAAATTAATTACAAAAATTCAAACAGATAATAAATGAAAATATCCTAATGCAAGTTAAAAGCAATATAAATGAATTAGTGAACTCAAACAAACAGTAGAAATAAAATATGCTTAACAGCAAATTGTTTATGCCCTACACATATCACAAATAAATTGAACCAACTCATTTTCTACATTTGTACAGCCACATGAGCCCACAGTTTACACTTGCAGCAAATAATTCACTTTTCCTGAAGTAATTCCATATTGTTTATTGCAATATATGCAATAAGTATTTTCATCGTCATTTTCCGGTTCTTTAGTACTTTTTTACCCTTTTTCTTTAGTGAACTTCGAATCCAATTTCTCCAAATCCATTGCCCTTCTTCAAGTTCCTGATTTTTTAACTTTAGCCTTGGCTTCTAATGTGACTTTGTATGGGGATTCAGTTATTTCTTCTGCTTGTTCTTGTTTGCGACCAAATCAAAACATATAAAAACATGATCAGGAACCGCCGATCGAAACACTGCCGGAGATGCCCAAATAGTCATAATTTAGAAACATTAAGGTAAATTAAGAAACCCTGAGGATAGGATACCAAGCCATGATCTGGCCACGTAAATAAGTTAATGTTTTATCCTTCTAACAGGAAAAATAACTTTCCTTATTATGGAATTATAACAAAACATGCCAATTCTATATAAATGGAAGCAAAATATTGAACGAAACAGGCAACTTTTTTGATATTTCAACTACGCTTGTCGGAAAACAACACAGACACCACACTCAACAAGCCGTCATTAAAACTCAACTGACAAGCCTCTAAAGAGAGTCTCCTTTTATTTTGTTTCAAAGAAAATTTAATTGACGAACTTGCCCCGTATTCCAAAGTTACCCCGTTCTCCATCCCTTATTAGAATGTATAATCCTGTACATCAATTATTAGATAATAATAAAAATTAATTAATTAAATATATGTTAATATTGTAAAATATTTAACAAAATATATTATTATATCTGTAATAAGATCAACAGTTATGAATAAAATAAAGTTATGTTTACAAGTAAGCAATTTTTTTTTTTGTTTGTGTCTTGTGTCGAATATAAGTATTCAGAGACCCACTTGACATAAACAAAATAAAACAAAAAAAATATTACATTGAATTGTGAAAATCCGATGACATCATATAAACAACTGTCCAAACAAAAATATTCTTTCCCATAAAATCTGAATGATTTCTTTTGGTTTCTTTCGTGTTTCTATATTCTTATATTGTTTTTATACTGAAATTTAAAGTACATATATATATATATATAAAGATATTTTGACATGGGAGAAAATGTTTTTGCTATTTTCTACACGTAAAGATTTAATATATAAATAAATATATATAAAAATAAAAGTATAATTTTCTTTTCTTATATTCTTCATATTAAACAAGATTTAAAAAGAAAAAAAAATAGAAAATTGGTTTTATAATTATCCTCATTATTCAAATTTGTTGCAATTTTATATAAAAAAAATAAATCTCTCACCAGCTTCTTGAAAAAACGTGAAGAAATTTAATAATTATCAGTCATAAACATGTTATCACCTAATTAATATTTTCTACATGATAAAGAAATAGCCTGATATGAATTTTAAATAATATAAATTGATCTCTCTTGCTAGATATATATATGTAAATTACTTTGAAAATGGCCACTTTAGATTCCAGATTGAGATAACTCAAATATTTATTGTCTGAAATATCAAAATGTATTACATATTATCAACTAGCAAGGAGACAAATAATAAATAACGATTCGTGATTACAAATAAATCTTTTTTTTCTTATTTTTTTTTTAAATTTAGAAGTAATTTTTTGCTAAATTCTTTCAAGCGTTTTCCTTATTTCGATTTTTTAATTTCTGAATTATTCATTCGTGTGATTATTAAGTTTGAATTTATGGTTAATATACTGATGTGTATGCAAATATGTTAGTGAAGAAGTATTGCAGTGTAGATGTATAAGTATGTGGTTATAAATAGTTGTTATATAAATGCAATAGTGTGTGTAGAAGGTATAGATGTATAGATGTAAAGAGTATGGATATGTAGTGTGTGAGTTCGAGTATATAAGTGTATAGATGCGTAGGATGAGGCTATATAAAAATGTTTAGGGTGTAGATGTATATGGTGTATAAATATACATATAAAAAAGCAATAAATATTTAATATGGGTGCATTTCTACATGTATATTATATATATATATATATGTAAATGTTAAATATTTACATAATAGGTATTTTTTTTCGATGTTCCAATGCTATAGCATTGTTCTGTATTACATCGATACATTGTTTAATCACGTAAATACACGTATTTGTCTTTTATTCCTTTTATCTCTGTTAACTGTTTAACTAGCTATTTATATATACAGATTCCGTAGGTAAATAAATAATACATTTCGTTAATTTCATTAAAAAATACTAAAAATTTCACTATATATTTGCATTAATCATATTTATAAATTTTCTGCTTCGTTTAAGATCATAAATATCTTTATTGTGAATTTATCATTTTCTAATGTAAACATCAAATAATATGTAACAAATATATAATAAATTTCCGTTAAGATATTAAGAAAAGAGATTTTTTTTAATAAATATTTTATCTAAGATTGTTCCTTTCCTTAGAGCAGTATACATATGTACTGTATAGATAATACATAGTATATATTTATTTTATAAAATATAAATGACTTTCCAGATAGAAAATAACACAAACAAAGAATGATGAATCATCTCTTCCTTATATAACTTATATTGCTATAAAATATTTATGTTTAAGTTTATATAAAAGTAATGATTTCCGAATTATCATAAATTACTTTATATAAATAAATATCTTAACATATTAGTGTAATATATCTATTTTAAAAAAAAACTAAAAAGATTTCCCCTTTCAATTTTGTAAAACAAAGAAAACTTTAACTGTTCGAGAACTTTAAGAACATAAATCTAAGGTTATTTTTTATAACAGAAAATTGACTCAACTAGTTCAATTTATCTAAAGAATGCACAAAAATCTTTTGATCAGATACCGTATTTTCGTTCTGTCAACATCAATCGTCTTTCAGAATCCAGTTACCAACAAGTACCTTGTTTACCATGACATATCTTCAAATAATTCTCTTGAATTCTGATTCCTCTGAGAATAATCTGATGATAATATTTCTAGATATATTATAAAAGAATATGAGAGACATATACTTATTAAATATATCCCTCAATTCATGTCAGAAAGGAAAAAATAATAATAATAATAATATTAAATTTCTAAAACTTCCAAATTTAATTATAAACTTTTTTGAGTGTTTATAAACTTATTTAAAAATAGTTTTATTATTATTATTTTTTTATTATTTAAATTTGAAATTTAATAATACTAAAAAGAAATCTTCACACAATTTTATTTTTATTACAAAACTGTCTATAAGTACACTTCTGTAAATCTGACTTAACACTTGAACTTGACATAATTTTCTAAACAAATTGGCACTGAACATATTATAATCATACTTTAGAATATGTGTACTGATAATTTATACACAATATTACATATTCCAGTATAACTACATCCTTTCTGTTTATTTATTTATTTATTTATTATTTTTTTAAATTTATTTTACTTTTTATACATTTGATCATTCACGTGTTGTTTATTTTAATCTTCAATTCACAAGTAATAAACTGATAAAATATCTTAAATTTTTTTTTATTATTTTAATTTATATATAGTTTACCGTAAATAAAATGAAATTAAATAAAATTTAATTTTAAAAAATGCAAACAGTTCATGTATTCGCTTTTATTAAAAATAAATTATATATATTTTTCCATTTTTTTTAGAATGATTCATTATAATTTATATATAATATATGTATAATATATACTGTATATAGTATGATTAAAGTAAAGAAAAATTTATTGCCAATGAGGAGAAGGATCTCGATATGTTCTTTTTTTTTCCTTTTTTTAAACCTATTCAGTAATAATTATAATTATTTACATAATAAATGATAAATCGTACAAAAATTTCTTGAACAAAAACAACTTTTGTTACGTCATACGTAGCATATTATAAAACAAATATATACGATATGGATAATATAATACATACAAAAAATGAAACTTTCTTTCATTACCTCATATAATACATCATCTTCATTATATCGAATCTTTTATGTCGTTATTATTTTCTTTTTGGCAGTAACGTAGCATTATCATCTTTTATTCCTAAATTAATAAACCCCGTGCGATCTCTAAATACTATATATTTAATTATTTTTTTTTCAAAAAAGGATAATTTTAACAACATAAATGCAGTTTTTTAATGAATTTTTTAAGAACACAATACATTAAGTGATTACCTTCTTTTTTCTTTGTTGTATACTATAATCTAAATTCAGCATTAATTTGGCAAAACTAAAGGATTTCTTTTTTCTTGAATGATATCATTTACAACGATGTAATAACGAACACGTTCACAAAGATCTGTTTTTTTTAAAACTCATTTTTTTAACACCAATATGCTTCACATTGTCAGTGGTTAACTTCTTCACATTTTCTTCTTCAGCCATTTTTTTTCCTTCTATATTTTCTCCCTCTTCTGGGTGATTCAGATTATGTCAGAAATCCTTTTCCAACTTTTATCTTCTTTTTTTTCTTTGATTTCGTCATTGTTGTCCAACTTTCCAGAATGAATGTCGTTGTTAATCACATGGGATCTTCAGAAAGTTCTGTAACGCGTCGCAACTGATTTACAGTCCCATGTGATTCTAGGAAGTCACAGTCCTAGTAAGTGATATCTGTCTGACATATGGGATACTACGGCTATCTGTGCACAATGGATAAAAGTCTAAAGTGCAGGCAGCACAGCAATGGAAGGAGAAGGAAGGATGGATGTAACCTTTCACCTGAGTTATTCTGGCGACCATGTTGCATGGCTGCTGGTTTTTCTCCTGAGGAAAAAAAAGTAATTTTTTTATAATAAATAAACTAATAGAAAACTAGAATAAATACATATATATTACTCGATTTTTCCACATCAAAATACTCCTACAATTGGTTACTAAAAGTCGTGTTGTACCTAAAGTAATTCTTGAAAAATCGTTATTATTATATACTATAAGTTCATTTTATTTTATTTTATTTTTTTTTGGTCGGAAATTCCATTATCGTTGATTCCTAACGCTGTATTGGGAATTGCTCCACTGACAAAAATATAAAAAAGCATCCATCAGACAAGTGTTGCACGGCACAAAAGTGTTTGCAGAAGCATTACGATTTTCAACCAAAGAAACCTCGACCCATTTGAGCAGGTAAAAGATAAATACTTGAAAGTTTCGCGACATCTGTTCTTTAAAAAAAAAAAAGGAGCAAAGAATGGAATGAAATTTTTTTGTCTTACAAGTTGTTAGTTGTCGATCTTTTAAAAGTTTTATAAACCAAAAAAAGTTTGATGGCAAATTCTACAGAGACTAGTTTTAGTGGATATGAACTATTGATCTGACAAGTAGATATCCAACCTGTCTCGAATGCACTTACTAAAGTCAAAATACTCAAAAAAACATTTTTTCCAACAATAAAAAATGTTCAACTGTGAAATGTTGTATAGAAGTTTTTTTCCTTTATAAGATAAAAAATCTTTAAATGTCACGAAATTACCAACGTTAGCAACAATTCAAAAGTACTTATAACCATTTATTATTATTATTATTATTAATAACTTTTTAAATTATATTTATATTTTAAAA